TCTAACTCTAACCTAACTATAAATTATACTATAACTCTTACCCTAATTCTAACTAATTTTAAATTTGTTTAAATTAGTTCAAATAGCTATTTTTTATATTATAATCTTATATTATTCCTATATTGCCTATCTATACTAAAGATCAATCAAAAAAAGATAAGTTGAATTTTTAATTTAGTAATTAGACAAAGCGAAGTATAAATAAAGAGCAAAAATTAAAGCTTAAATAGATTTTTTAGCAATAATTAGATGTAGATTACCAAGAGTTAATAAAGAAAGATATTATATATCTCATGCAGTCCTATTAAACCTTGAATATGTTTTTGTTATTAAGATTAGGCTTGAATCTAATCTAATCTTATAGAATTTCATTAGAGTTTGACAATAATAATATCTTACAATAGTTTAAAAGCTGGGATAAAAAACAATTATCTTATCACATTGTTCTAGTATAGTTTGATTATGACTTAACATATGTGAGCAGGCTTGGATTTAAAAAAATTTATGTGATTTCATTAATAATTACATCTTAATATGTTTGGGACAATTAAGATATTAATTAATTATTTAATATACTATTCTGGTAAGCTTTAAAAAAGTTATTTATATAAGACAGAGCTTAGATCTAAAATAAAATTATAAACTTTGATTAGAAAATGATGATAATCAAAGGGTGAAATTTTAATTATCTTATCATATTGCTCCAGTAGGCTTTGAATAAATTTTGCCTAATATATATAGTTAAAATTATGGAGCAGTAAACTCAGACTAAAAAAGGAAAAAGGATTTTCAAAAATAGATTGGTAAAGATTTTAAACATGGAGTTCGTATAAAGGTAATAATGAAGAAAACTTATGTGGTTTATATTTTTTTAATATATTTTATAGTAGATTTAAATTAAAATATATATAATTTAATAAAATTACAATTTATTGAAAAATATAAATACATATAATGAATACAAGAAGTAAAAGAATAAAAAAATAAAAATAAAAAAATAAAATAAAAGTTCATACAATAATAAAAAAAGAAAAATATATAAAATAGCTATATAATAAGAGCATTCTAAAATATAATAATCAACGCATCTAAATAAATAAGAGAGTAAATTTTTACTAGTAAAAAAATAGGGTAATGAATTAATTGTATTGATTATTACAATGAATAAAATAGTAACAATGTCAGAAAGAAAATTTTGATTAGTAGATGTTCATTTAACTGACTTAGAGTATTTATTATTCCAATCAGCAAGAGATAGAGGCCCAAACAAAGAAAGGTGAACTGAAGTAAATAAAATTAGTTAAAATAAAGAAAAAAAAAATAAGAAAACACGAAATATAAAGCAAGAATATTATAAATACTGATAACTTCAATGACAAAGTAATACCTGAAAAAATTAATTAGAAAGTGATAACAGAAGTTAGAAGATTTTACAGATGATGATTCTAATGAAAAAATAAGTGTTTAAAGAAAAAAGAAACAATAAGAAAAGAGTGAAACAGGAGAAGCAAAAATCAAAAAGTGCATTGTGAGAATATAAAGCAAATCAGCAGTATTTAGAAGCGCAAGTAAAAGGTGAAAGGAAGAGTCCATGGTAGAGATTCTAACAATAAAAGACTCAGTGAAAAATAAGTAAGATATGATGTAAAAAGACAAAAGGTTAGTACAGAACTATAAAGTAAAATTAAAAAGACTCAACTTAAATAGAAAAGTACAAGATAGGGTTAATAAGAATCACTCCAATGGTGAAAGGATAAATGAAAAAAGAAGATTCTAAAGGTGAAGGATCTATTGAAGCACAGACAAAGAATAAAGCAGAGATTAAAGATAGAAAGTGAAAGTAAAAAAGACAGCAGGTATAAAGATATCAGTATAGTAGAAAAAAAGGTTTAAATGTTAAAGGTATGATGTAGCATAAAGAAAAATGTAGGAATGAAAAAGATGACTCCAATGATGAAATGACAAGAAAAAAAGAACAGTAAAACAAAAAGCAAAAAAGCATAAAAGGAAAAATAATGATTATAGGTGAAGATTCTAACTACAAAAAAAAGAGAAAAGCAGATAAGGATGAAACAAAAAGATATGAAAAATGCATATAAAATAAGAAGTAAAAAAAAAAATGCTTGCAAATAATTAAAAACTATTCAATAAGTGAGATATAAAAAAAGGTTACACTATGCAAGTATTATTGTTATACTCAAAAATTTTTAGTATATAGTATAGATATTATTTAAAAAAAATTTATACAAAAATTGAGTATATGTTATATATAAAAGTTTTTAAAAATATAATTTTTTTTATGAAATTTTTATAGTATATGCATTAAACCTGTCTAATTATGATCATATAATTTTAAACTGCTATTATATTCAAAAAAAATATACATATATATATTGCTAATTCTTCTTAGAATAATTAAAATTTGTCTAGATTACACAATATAAATAATATATAATCATTACCTGATTTTAATTAAATGTTATTGTAAAAAAATCAATAATATAATTACTAGTAAAATTAATTGATGTTCATCTTACCCTTAACTAACAACG